GGGCGGAGGAATCGAACTCGGGTCGGCCATGTTGGCCGCTTGTAAGGCGAACGCCCTACCCGCTGTGCTCTACAATAATTTTTTAACTTACAAGATACACTGTTGTTTAGGTAATAACAATAGAGTTAAAGTTTATGGTATTAGTACACAAAATTACTACACAGGACCTCATGGAAGTGCCTACAGTCCCGCAACACGGTCAGTAGTCTCCTCTAGTTTGGTCTTTCCACACCCTTCCTTTCCCTTACTATTTGGTAATTGACTTTGTACTCCGATGCCAAGGGCTTGTTTGTCAATGTTCAATACTGTCTACTCACTTGTTTTGTCTCTATATAATCTATAGATGAGTGAGAGCATCTGACATTTGACCTTTTCTTTCAGACATATCTCACTAAACATTCCATGTTACTACAACCTGCATGACTTTGCATTTCTTAAAGCTGAATGGTATTCCATTCTGTGTATATACCATAGCATTTTTATGGAACATAAGGGAAGTTCAACACCATGTACCAAGTTAGTAAACTGCTGTCTATAAACACTACTAAAACACAATGAAACACTATTCCACTAGAAAGACAGATGAAATCCTAGGTTTTGCTACGACACAGATGAAGCTAGAGGGTGTCATGCCAAATGAAATAAATCAGAGAGGACAAATGCCACATTATCTCACACACATTTTGTATATAAAGAAAAAAAATGGAATCTGATTCTTATTTATGAGTCTCTCTGTCATACCATGAAAGACTTTGTGCACATTTACCCTTTTCATTTTCTTTTCTTAAATAAAATATTCTGAATTTGACCAAAAATCAAATAATCAATGGGAGTGCACAGAGGTAAATAAAATCAAACAAATTGATCTGACAGCAGAACTACCAAGCAGAGGGCATGGAGAAATAGAGTGGACATTAACAGTACTATAAAATAATCAGCATAAAAACTGGGCAACGGTGTTTATTTTATAATTCCTGGCAATGCAAAAAATTATATGAGTAATTATGAACATGCATTTTCAAACATCAAAAATAAGGTCACCTCTGGCCTAGGGATGTGGCACAAGTAATATAGCGCAGGCTTTGTATATTCAGAGCTCTGAGTTTTCCTTGGCTCCCTCTCCACAACCACCTCCAAAGAACTAAATAAAATAACCTCTCTCATAATGTGTTATGACCATAACAGATTGATTTGCATTTCTCAAACAGTGAGTGAGATGAACACCTTTTCAGATACCCACTAACCATTTATAGTCTTCTTTGGAGAAGACTTATCTCCTCTTCCCATTTTTCATGGGATTACTGGATTTTTTGTTGTTGCCAATCTTTGTGGTAGCTCATATATTTCTTGGATATTAGCCTTTTATCTGATTCATTGTATGCAAATATTTTCCCATATTTAATAGTGCACCTTCTAAATTTAGCATTTTTTAAAATTTTTACTAGTGAGACATCATGAGACACAGTTGTAGACTTACAATTTTTTGTGCCTGGGTTTCAATTATACAATGATCAAATACCCATCCCTCCACCAGTGCCCATTTCCCACCACCACGGATCTCAGTATCACTCCCACTCCCCATCCCCCATCCCACCTCCCTCTGTGGCAGGGAATTCCCTTTTGTTCTCTCTCTCTTATTGGGTGTTGTGATTTGCAAAAGAGGCAATGGGTGGCAATCATGTTTGGTCTATAGTCTACTTTCAGCATGCTTCTCCCATCCTGGGAGGATCTTCCCAACACCATTTATTTGGTGCTCCCTTCTCTATCTGAGCTCCCTTTTCCCCTAGCATGTGTGGTTGGCCTCCAAGCCATGGAGTAAAATTCCTGGTACTAATCTCAGCCATTCTTGGGTGTTAGTTTCCTATTCTGTTATTTTATGTTCCCCAGATGAATGCAATCTTTCTATGTCTATCCCTTTCTTTCTGAGTCATTTCGCTTGATACTTTCCATGTAGCACCACTTGTATGTAAATTTCATGATACATGAAATTTCATGAAACATGATACTTTCATGAAACTTCATGAAATTTCATGAAACATGAAATTTCATGAAATTTTATGAAACATGATACTTTCCATGTAGTACCACTTGTGTGTAAATTTCATGACTTCGTCTTTTCTAACAGCTACATAGTACTCCATTGTGTAAATGTACCAAAGTTTCTTTAACCAGTCACCTGTTCTCGGGCACTCAGGTTTTTTTCAGATTCTGGCTATTGTAAAGAGTGCTGCAATGAACAAACAAGTGCAGATGTCACTTCGACTATACTTTTTTGCCTCTCTGGGAAATATTCCCAGGAGTGGTATTGCTGGGTCAAATGGGAGCTCAATTTCTAATTTTTTTAAGAATCGTCCATACTGTTTTCCAAAAGGGTTGAACCAGTCGGCATTACCACCAGCAGTGAAGGAGGGTCCCTTTCTCGCCACATCTGCACCAGCACCAGTTGCTTTTGTTCTTGTGGATATGGAACAGTCTCTGTGGTGTGAAATGATATCTCATTGTGGTTTTGATCTGCATCTCCCTGATGATTAATGATGTGGAGTATTTTCTCATGTGCCTTTTAGCCATTCGGATTTCTTCTTTGTAAAAGTTTCTATTCATTTCATCTCCCCATTTTTTGATGGGGTTGGATGTTTTCTGCTTGTGGAGTTCAACCAGTACTTTGTATATCCTTGATATCAACCCCTTATCGGATGTGTATTTGGTGAATATTCTTTCCCATTCTGTAGACTGTCTTTGCATTTTGGTCACTGTTTCTTTTGAGGTGCAGAAGCTTCTTAGTTTAAGATAATCCCATTTGTCTATCTCTGTTTTCACTTGCTTGGCCAGCTGAGTGACATCTTTGGAGATACCATTAGTTTCTATGTAATGGAGTGTTTTGCCAACTTTTTCCTCAATGAACCTTATGGATTCCAGTCTGATGTTGAGGTCTTTAATCCACTTTGATCTTACTTTTGTACATGGAGTTAGGGAGAGATCTGAGTCCACTTTTTTGCATGTAGCCGTCCAGTTTTGCCAGTCCAATTTGTTAAAGAGGCTTTCCTTGCTCCACTTCACTTTTCTTGCCCCCTTATCGAAGATTAGATACTCGCATGCTTAGGGGGAGATGTCAGTATATTCATCCCTGTTCCATTGGTCTACAGCTCTGCCTTTGTTCCAGTACCATGCTGTTTTAATTATTACTGCTTTGTAGTAGAGTTTGAAGTTTGGGAGGTTGATTCCTCCCATTTTCTTTTTCCCAAGAATTGCTTTAGCTATTCGTGGGGGCTTATTGTTCCATATAATAAATTTAGCATTGTTTTAGTAAAAGTTTCTGTTGCTATGTAAAGCTTTTCAGTTTCATGCAGTTCCATTTTTTATGTTTACTTTATTAAGAAACTACCAAAACATTTTTCCAGAATAGTTGTACCATTTTATTTTCACACAAGTGATGTATGACCAATTTTTTTTACTCTAAAGTAAGTTTTAATTTTATTTATTTTTTTATTATAAAATTTTTAATAGTGAGACATCATGAGGTAGAGTTGCAGACTTACACATTTTTGTGCTTGGGTTTCACTTATACAATGATCAAACACCCATCTCTCCACCAGTGCCCATTTCCCACCACCACGGATCCCAGTATCCCTCCCACCCCCCATCCCCCCATCCCACCCTGTTTCTGTGGCAGGGCATTCCCCTCTGTTCTCTCTCTCCTTTTGGGTGTTGTGGTTTGCAAAAGAAACATTGAGTGGCAATCATGTTTGGTCTATAGTCTATTTTCAGCATGCTTCTCCCATCCTGGGAGGATCCTCCCAACATCTTTATTTGGTGTTCCCCTCTTTATCTGAGCTCCCTTTTCCCCTAGTATGTGTGGTTGGCCTCCAAGTCAAGGAGTAAAATTCCTGGTACTAATCTCGGCCATTCTTGGGTATTAGTTTCCTATTCTGTTACTTTATGTTCCCCAGATGAATGCAATCTTTCTATGTCTATCCCTTTCTTTATGAGTCATTTCGCTTAACGTAATACTTTCCATGTAGTACCACTTGTATGTAAATTTCGTGACTTCGTATGACCAAATTTTTAACATCTCAACTAGTATTTGATGGCTTAACTTTTATGATAAATTTTATGTTTTTCTATAATGTTGATAGTTTTTTCCTAGCTTCCTAAAATAATCTATTTTCAAAATCCTCTTAACTCAAACATTCTCCATATTAACATATTACATTGCCGTATTACATCTATTACTGATCTCAGTGACACAAAACTCTATCCCCCAGTCTCCTCTATTTAGCACCAAGAAAGAAAACACCAAATCTTCCTTCTTGGGGCATAGGGATTCCTTAGTGGCTAGAATACCTGCCTTGGAAGTGTAAAGCAACAAATACAATCCTTGGTGCCATTCACATGCACTGAGAATTAAATATGTATAAGCACAGCTGGCAAATACACAAGTTAAAGACCCCTTGCAGGTACTAAAACCTGGGTGTGTGCAAGCACCACACCTAGAGTGACACAACATGCCAGTGTCCTGTTAGCACTACTCTTGAGTGAGCACTACAACCTGATATGGGACCCTAGATCAACACCCAAAGCAAATGTGTGACACCTGGTCATTGCAACAGTAACAACAGCAAAGGCAGATTGTCGCAGGCATTAAAGGTGGAGAGAAACTTGAATTTTAAATTAAGGCTTAAAACTGCTGTCAGCTAGAAAATTTAGTATATTTTCCTAACTAACGAATGGTTCCATGAAGAGTGAGTTTGAGCTAGAACACATGTGAAGAAAGGAATACTGATGAGATGCAGAGCTAAGGAAAGGGGAAAGTATCCCTTGTACAAAGCCTGGGGCACCTATGCAGCTACAGGAACTCTAGAGTTTGTAACCCAAAGGAAAAACTATCTAGGTATTTCTAAATAAGGGTATAAAAACATAAAACGAAGATGATCCATGCATCTTTTTATTGCTTTATTCATTCCTTTCAGGGTTCACTACATTTTATGATGGTTGGTTTACAATTATATAGAATAACTATTAGCCAAGGAGAAGGGGAGAATCATCCTCATTCCTCCTCCATTCTCATTTTCTGCTTCTATCACACCAAAAATGATAGAGCCAACTGAAAGACAGAAAACACAAGAATGAAAAACAAGCTTAGCTTACTTGAAATTAAACTATTTACAAAAGTAGACCCTCTCACTAACCTTTTTTGTCACCATTTTCCTGTCAGAAATCCGAAATGGAAAATGGTAAAGTCACCCCGAAACATTAAGTTCATTTACTCATCGAAAAGCTTTTTGGACATAGGCACACCATTATTCATTTCTGCACCTTTGTATTTATTGTGCTTATAAAAGTACAATAGCTAAGATATAAAGTCAACCCAGATAACCAACAATAGATGAATAAATTATGAAGATGTGGTAATATATACACAATGGAATACTATGCAACTATAAGGAACAATGAAATCTTGCAATTTGCTGCAACGTGGTTGGAACTAGAAGATATCATGTTGAGTGTAGTAAGCCAGAGAAGTAAAACAAACACAGCATTTTCTCACATACCTGTGGTGTATAGAGCATCCTAGGCTCCAGAGTTTATGGAGGAGGACAGAAAGGGAAAGAAATCAAGGGAGTTCATTGGTGGTGGTAAAGGTACACTGGGGGAGGGATAGGTGTTAGATCACTGTATGACTAAAACTCAATAATAAGAGCTTTGTAATGGTCTATCTCACAGGTATTAAATTTAAAGAATTTTCTCAAAAAAGAAATCAAAGATGAAGGGAATAAGATGAGAAATGGGACAAAGAACAAGAGTCAGGGCTCCATATCACTATACTGGTGGTGTGGAACAGTGATATAGCCATATCCAAGCACAGACTCAACAACACTGAAAACATGAAACCTAATCTGCAACCACCAACTCTGTAATGTACCTCTCAAGGTGTCAAGTGGAGGATGGAACAGGGCATCGGAGGTATGGAGTATGGAAACAGTGTTAGAGGGGTTATTATTGAAATATTATATGCCTAAAACTCAGTTATCAATAACTTAGTACATCATAGTTCTTTAACTAAATAAAACTATTTTTGAAACAAAAATTCCTTTTAGAGTATCACAGTATGTGGTCACAGTGCACACCAACACTGCTGGACCTGAGTATTGAACTCTCCCTTCAGTTGACCAACCATCACCATGATTGACCTGTGAGTTTCCATAACTCACAGAGGGGAGATCTCCATCCCACAAATTTTGTCTTAGGATCCAGGGATTTTATTCAGGAGGTAGATCACATGTATTACCCATGTAGGGCTCCTACATTCACTGTGTGTGGTCCCTATAATTAAAATAATTCATTGTCCAAGTGTAGTTATTGCACTTACTTGATATTCAGGACATGCAAGTTGATATGAATATAGAGATAGATACCTGTTCACAAGTGGGATCAAGACGGGGTGGGGATGTAGTGATGGGAGTGGGAGTACTCAGAATGACTAAGTCCTATTCTTTAACAAACTAGTATCACAAGCTGTAGTTACCAGCAGTTTCTTCACAGATTCAGATGCCTCTGGTCCCAGCTCATCCACACATTTCTTCAATCCTTCCACAAGATGTTCAACAGAAATCCCCAGAGTTCTCAATAGATTCCTTAATGGGTCCAGGGAAGAGAGAATCGTGTCCACAGGTAAGATTTTGTTGACAGGAAGTGGCAAACTGTTGATGAGAAAGGCTGTGGCTGCAGGATTAAAAACAAAAATCCATTTGAGCAGGTACCTTCCCCTCCTGTCTGTAATTCATCTTCCCCTACTTTCTCCTTTCATAGCTGCACTGTAGCACCACTCATCTTCATATTTTTAGAAAAAAATCTTTATTAAACACCATGGCTTACAGGGTTGTTCATAATACTATTGTTACAGGTTTTTGACGTTCCAACATCAATCCCATCACTTGAATGACCTTCCCTCCGTCATTGTTCCCATTTACTCTAAGAGTTTTTGCCTCAAACTTTTGCACTATTGGTCCACTCTCCCTAGAATCTTTCTCCCCCCCAGAAACTACATATCTATCTTCCTAACATTATTTGATTCATCTTCAAATGTTACATTTCAAAAAGACCCAACCAGTTACCCTTTATTTCTAGTTTTTTTCTTACAACTATCTAAAATCATTAAACGTTTTGTCTATTTCTTCCTTTCTCTGAAATATAGATTCAATGATAACAAGGAATCTAGGTGCATTATTTTACTTTAATTCATGTCTAGGACAAGCCTTTGCATATAGTAAGGACCTTGCTTTCTCTCTCTCTCTCTCTCTCTATATATATATATATATATCAGTGTATATACAGATATATACATCCACTATAAGTAAACCACAGATATATTTATATATGTATATATACATATATATACATATCTATTTATACAGGTATGTATATGTATGGACTGGAGCGATAGCCTTGCACTCGGCCAACCCACTGACCCAAGTTTGATTCCTCCAGCTTTGATTCCTCCGCTCCTCTTGGAGAGCCCGGCAAGCTACCGAGAGTATCTCACCCACAGGGCAAAGCCTGGCAAGCTCCCCATGACTTATTCTATATGTTACTGGGCCTGCTTGAGCAAATCGATGAACAACTGGAGGACATTGACAGTGACAGTGATGTATATGTATATATATGTGTGTGTATATATATATATCCATATATATCTGTGGTTGACTTATAATAAATGTACATGACATGTAGCTGGTTCACAAAACATGATTTTGAAGCCAAATGAGGTGATACCACAATGAACCTCCACTTAGGGAGATGGGTGATCCTATTGGTTCAGGAAACTGGCCCCAACCAATTCAACTCAGTTCAACAAATATAATTGGCCACTGAATTTATGCCAATTTTGAGCACCTATTCTAGATGAATAAGAGATGAATTCTCAATTCAGATGACTAACATAGTGTAGAGGACAAAGGGGGTATATGTGCATGCCACAGAGAGAGGCATGTACAGTGCAAATATTATGGATAAAATGTAATGGGAACACAAAAGAAGGGAAGATTAACCCTTGAGTGAAAGAATGTTGCAGAAATATTCCTAGTAGAAGTTTGCTAGAGCTATATCTCAAACATCAGCATCATCAGGTCAAAAAATGAGCTCTATCAGAAAGAGAAGGAGAGACCTAGGAAGATGGCACTCATTTGTGGAACATAAAGTAACAGAATGAGAGACTAACATCCAAGTACAGGAGAGATAAGTACCAGGAGGATTACTCCACAGCTTAGGAGCCGGCCTCGCATACTGGGGGAAAAGGCAGCTCAGATAGAGAAGGGAGCACCAAGTAAAGGGTGCTAGGAAGGGCCGTCGGGATGGGAGATGGAAACTGAAAGTAGACTATAGACTGAACATGATGGCCACTTAATACCTCTACTGCAAACCACAGCACCCAAAAGGAGAGAGAAAGAGAGAGAGAGAGCAAAAGGGAATGTGCCTACCATGGAGTTGGGGTTGGGTGGAGGGGATGGGGCGGGGGTGGTGGGAGGGATGCTGGGACCACTGGTGGTGGAAAATGGGCACTGGTAGAGGAATGGGTACTCGACCATTGTATGACTGAAACACAAGCACTAAAGTGTGTAAGTCTGTAACTGTACCCCATGGTGATTCACTAATAAAAAAATTTTTAAATGTTAAAGGGCAAAAAAAATGAGCTCTATTTTTAAAAAGGGGAAATATTTTTTAACAAAGGCACTAAGATGTTAGTACATAAGCAGAAAGGTGCAACCTTTTTTCTCAGATATTCTGCAGCAAAGAATTCCAGAATATGCAAAGAGGAGTATAAAAGAAAGGCTGTGAAACTCAAGTGAGGTGAGTGTTTTCAAAGCTTTGAATACCATACTAATTAGTTTTCTGATATCATTTAAGTGTTATTAAGGTTTTTATATAAAACAACTGCATTTCATATTTCTGATTTTAGAAGGAGAACTTTTATATATTTAATGAGTCAGAGGGAAGGAGTAGAGAATAAGAAAAATACATATGATATATATTTTTACAAGGCACAGTTTGCATATTGTCCGGAAAGAGACAGACACCTCTTGGTTTTATGGTTAATTAAGTTGGTACAGAACAGATAAACAGAGAAAGTAACAGGAAATTTTAGTGCACAGAAACCCCATGAACTAAGACTTTTAAAATAAACAAAGCAGTTAGTATATATACCACTTAATTAAAAAAAACAGTAAACTTGTGAAGTATTTGTAGTAAGCAAGTAGATCCAGTTTGGTTAGCATAGTTTTCTCAGCACTTAATTCCCCATCTCTGCCAATAAGGAAATCTCTCAGCCTCTAGACACAGGGATAATAGCTCTCACAGGGGAGATTTGGTCCTTGCTCTCAGGATGGAGAAAGGTCAGGGTGTTCCTCTTGCACTGACTATCTCTTAAGAAAATTTAATTTTAAATAATCAAAGTGCCACCCTGTCATATTTTGAAGAAGCCTATTCTCAATCCCAATAATATATATAAATTTATTATGTATATTTACATGTACATATATATGTATATATGTGTAAGCACACAAACACACACATAACTACATACATTGTTCTGCTGAATAAAACCCTGAATACAGAGTTTATTTTCCATCGGAATCTTTTTATTCCTCAATTCATAGAATAAATAAGTCGGTCTGTCTACTTTACGTTCATCTTTCATCAGTTTTCCTTACAAAATATTTTTTTCTTTCTACCCACCCTTCTGCTGCCTCTTCTATCCACAAATATTATACTAGAGAACAAAAGCATCAAAGATTATAAAGCCACAGATTTATTCAAAAGTTCAATAAGTGTTAACAAGTCAAATTTTCATTGCAGCACTCAGTTCTCATTACTTGTATCTTTACTTTTTAAATAGTTAATGCCTACTCTGTATGTACAATCCAAAATTGTCAAAACTTTCTGTCCTTTGAATGAGCAGTGATCAGAATTAAATATTTTAAATATGCATTCAAATATAATTTCCATATATTTACAGTGACTCTTTCCCAAAACAATATACCCATTTCTGTTCCACTAAACCAGGTTCTATATTCCACTTGGAAATTCAACTGTTTTTCTCTGTACCCTCACAGAGTACTCTTTTTACCCTCACAGAGTTCTCATCATTGTACATTATAATAATCTAGTATTGTAAAGATTTCTATAGAAATCACATTACCTCTGACAGACTGTACATACCATGAGAACAATAGTAATGACTAATTAAAGGCAGAGTCATCTTCTGCTTTTCAGCACTCAGCATACCATAGCCATTTAATAAATACTGATTGAGTTAAAAGATAAGTGTAACTATATCTTAAATTGGAAATCAATTTATAAACATGTCTGATTAGAAATCAAATCAGCAAGGACTTCATATAATTTCAAAGTCATAAAAATTTTAAATTCTAGAGTTTTAAAACGTTTTTGTGAAACAATTACAAAATTTCAATTCAGATATTCAACCACAAAATGTGCTTTGTTCACCCCAGTGGGAGTTAGTCAACTTCTTGTGTAGGATGAACAAAGTGTAGTACGTGTATGGGTTCAGCACTCGGAATTTGAGATGAGAGGGCCTCTCAAATTCCTTCTGACTTTACTGCTCACTGCCTCTAAAACTCCCTCTACCATAGTCCCCTAAGATACTTGTCTTCTTATTAAGATTTCTTCTAATAGAAAAGGAGCAAAACAGCAAAACCATACGTTCCAACTACTTACCGGAGTATGTGCAAATGCTGAGCATTATCAGCACGAACACAGTTACCAGCTTCATGACAGATTACCTGTGATATTATATTAACCTGGAGTTTAAAACTGAAGTGGAAAACCCAGTGAATCCACCAACCACAGGTTCCCCTGCTGTGCCAAGTACAGCAGTTACTTAAGCCCCCAGACATATTATAGCTCCACTGAGGGGGGACTCATGTTTCAGTCACAGCACTTGACTCACCCCACTGAAGAACATGAAAGTCACGTTACCTTGCTAACAAAGTTGTAGGTGTTTTCCTCTTTCCTCTTTTTCCCATGAGAAACAAACCCCTAAAGCATTTTCAAGGGCCACTTGCACAAGCCCTTGCAGAGATGCCAGAGGGAGGCAAAGAGCTCTAAGACACATTTGCTGAAAACATGTCAAAAATAGAAGTCATTGTTTTATATTGAAGTTAAAAGGAATAAAAAATTTGTGGCCTACTGTGTTTTTTCTTCAGTTTGGAAAACCACATTACCTTAGAGTTACCCTATTGGAGAAGCAATTCAGAGGCTACATCCACACTGATATAATGCAAATTCAGACAAAAGATTTTGGAGGCACATTTCTGTGGAATCCATCTTTGTCCACCCCACCCTCATTCATAAATGTGCTATGGAAAGATCTCTTACCTTTTCCAGTGTCTTCCAGTTCTTTGGGGGAACCCCAGAGTATGCCTCCCTATTCACTGCCATTGAATGGTGGCTCAGGATCTCTTTTCATCAACAATATTGGTATTATCATCTAAAATAGAAATGTTAATTAATGGTAAACTAAAAACCTGTAACAAATGCATCATTAACAGCTTTGTATAACACAGCATTTAAATAAAGTGGGAGAAAAGAAGTTTTATGCAGAGGTGGGGTGAAGTGGACAGGGACATAGCTCAAAGATAGAACACATACCTTGCATGTATGAGACCTTGGGTTCAACTGCTGGCAATACACACACACAAAGCTGTTTTTGAATTTTTATTTTATTAACTAAATGATACGTTACTTGAAAAAATTCTGGGAAATTTTTCATCAAAAATGCATATACATAAAAGAAATGTTGCCTATATTTATGCAATCTAAGCATGTTATTTAAGTATTTTATATATTATATTTTATAAAACATATTGTAATATTTTATATATTTATATAAAGTGATATTACTATGAGAACTTGATAAAATATTGCAGACAGAAGATGTAACTCTATCAAACTAAGATTGATACTTCCTGCATCATGTAGTACTGATTTTTGTGAGTTAATATTTAGCAATTTCCATTTTATTATTTTCCTGCTACTTCAACTAGTTTAAGAACACATATCACTGCCATGTATACTCAATTTTGCCACTTCTATTGCTTTATCTGCCAGAAATTGCTTCTGTTTCTCCAAGGTACTGTCCCAGAGCAGAGATATTAATGTGCCAAAAGTCTTTAGAGGGTCATTTGTATAGTACAAAGGTAGAGAGTTGATACCATCCTCCCTTGATCCGTTATGACTTTTTTACAAAATACTGAAAGAGCAGTGTCTTCCCTGTCCTTGGCATTTGTCAGTTTGCTTTCAAATCCACTTCTAATACTTCCCTTCAAGTGTTTTGTACTACAGGAAGGCATATTTCCAAAATTGTTTCCAGATTTCTTTGCCAGCTGTGTTTGATTAGGATGAACTAGGATGAAGAGTGGAGGGAAGAGAAAGGCAGACAACCAGCTGCTTCTTCTTCTCTGATCGTGAGAGCATCTTGAGCAATGGCTGTCTTCTCCATTGTCTGGATCCTTCAAGAGAAACCCTTCATCTTAGATCCTTAGGGCTGGAGCGATAGCACAGAGGGTAGGGCGTTTGCCTTGCATGCAGCCAACATGGCCGACCCGAGTTCGATTCCTCCGCCCCTCTCGGAGAGCCCGGCAAGCTACCGAGAGTATTCGATATGCCAGACACAGTAACAACAAAGTCTCCAATGGAGATGTTACTGGGCCCACTCGAGCAAATCGATGATCAACGGGAGGGCCTTTACTTTACTTTACTTAGATCCTGTATAGAATCTGAGAACCCATATCTGAAATCTAACATAGGAAGACCCACCATTATTCTGACTTCTACAATGTGGCACCAGCTCCTAAATGCATCCCTTTTGGTCAAGAAGCAGTAGCATTTAATTATCTGGTGAACATCACATGAAGCATGTACCTGTGGAGTCAGCCTACAACCTAGGAGGGACAACAGGACCCTAGCCTAAAAGTCAGTCAAACCCCAGTCCCAGAGAATTCCAGGTTGCTGGCAAGCCTGCATGCAGCATTCCAGCAACTTCTCTAATCCTGTCAATGCACAAAATCACAAATCACAAATCATCCTGTTAATCATCGATTGCCTCGAGCAGGCCCCAGTAGCGTCTCCTTCATTCTAGCTCTGAGATTATATTCTAGGCTCTTTAGGAGAAATGAGACCCATCATTGTTACTGGTATTTGGCATATTGGGTACGCCACGGGGTGTTTGCCAGACTCTACTGTGTGGGCAGGCTACATTCGGTAGCCTGCCAGTTTGTCCAAAATAGGAATGAGATAATAAGATGTCATAATAGGATGTCGCATGGCCGACATAGGTTCCGGGAGCTGGTTTTTATAGTCTGTCAATTATCAGGTGAATATTCAATGGTGAGGGTGCCTGTGAGTTATACAAGGACTCTTGTCATGAAGTCCCAGTGTCGAAAGAAGCTCTAACTTTACCTTACACTGCCTGAATATTAAAACCATGTGGCCACTGATGTGAGACTTCTCCTCCTTCAACTTCTGAAGATACCAATACCCTCACAGAAATCCACAGTCCTTGGGTATTCCTCACTTCCTCTAAGATATGAATCACTAATAGTGTTCTTATAATACTAAATAGCAAAACTTCAGAGAATAGTAGACACCTACCAAGTCAAAAGAGTCAAGATAGGAGCCCAGAAGACTGTACCAGAACAAGCCAGGTCTACAACCTTTTAAGGTAAAGACATTAGGGACATGACAATGCAATGCAGATGTCTAATAAGATAAAAAAAATATGGTACAAGTACAAGAAAGCATGAGAGAATAAATGATAAAACTATAATCATAAGTGAAAAAACTAAAGATTATGGTAGGTGAAATTTTTTAAAAATCAATGGAAGGCTCCAACAGCAATATGCCAACAGTTGAGGAAACACTAGAACTTTTCTAAAAATTCTAATCTTATGGTTTTCTCACCACTACCCCAACCCCTCACCATTTCTTACTGGTTGCACTAAACACATTAAATTTAAATTGCATTTAAAATAGAAAGTTAAATTCTTCCTATTTTTTAATATGGCATGGACTTGGTTTTATAAACAGGCTGACTAATATAGCATCAAAAAATATTTTAATGTGTTTGTAAATACATGTTTTTTGGTTTCGAAGTTCGGATCTCTTTCAAAAGTATTAAATTGTGACTCCAGAAGACCAAGACCAAGACTCACCAAGAGAAACATGGACTAATATAGAGACAGAAATTTTGCTCCCTTTCACCCCCTTGAAATGTTTGTTACTACTCAAATGTGTCGACTGTGCCAAAGAATAATACCCTGGGAATCTCCTCAGAATCTTACATTAATAGAAATCTAGTGTGGTCAGATGGTGTAGCTGGTCTTCTGCCAGTCATACAGTCTTGGCCAAATCCAATATTATCATCAATAGCTTAAACCAGACTTTCCAAAACTTAATTTGGCCTATTCCCAAATTTTCAGAAAAGCAATCACTCAGTGCCCCCTTAGAAATCTATCTTCTTCCAAAAAGCAATCAAAGTACCTCACAGTTACACCTGGGGCCACTACTTGATTTTCTTGATTTTATAACAAGATGCTTTGTGATTCAGAAAGTGATTTATTTAAGAAAACACTTTTTGTGCAAAAAAGCACAGTAGAAATAACATCTGCACCTGTAAGTTAATTGCAGTACTGTTTACAATAGCCAGAATCTGGAAACAACCCGAGTTCCTAAGAACAGATGACTGGTTAAAGAAACTTTGGTACATCTATAGAATGGAATACAATGCAGCTGTTAGGAAAGATGAAGTCATGAAATTTGCTTATAAGTAGATGGTCATGGAAAGTGTCATGCTAAGTGAAATGAGTCAGAAAGAGAGGGACAGACATAGAATGACTGCACTCATTTATGACTGGAATATGTAATAACATACTATGAGACTGACACCTAAGAACAATAGAGACAAAGACCAGGAATATTGCTCCATAGTTGAAAGCCTACCTCATGAGCTAGGGGAGAAGGCAGCTGGAATTGAGACGGGATCATTAAGCTAATGATGGTTGGAAGGATCGTTCGGAATGGGAGATGTGTGCTGAAAGTAGATAAAATACCAAACGTGATAGCTTTTAAGTATTTGTATTGCAAACCATAATGCCCCAAAATAAAGAGAGAGTATGGGGTAAATAGTCTGCCATAGAGGCAGGGGGAGAGTTGGGATGGGTGTGGTACATTGGTAGTAGAAGATGTGCACTGGTGGAGGGATGGATGTTCGATTATAGTATGACTGAAATTCAAACATGAAAGCTTTGTAACTATATTTCACAGTGATTAAATTTTTAAAAAAAGAAAGAAAAAGAAAACACCCCTTAAGTACTGGAGAAAAATGTATAGTCAATATTTGGGAAGTGAAGAGCCCCCTATATGTCTGTCAGGTCCATATCTTTTTTTTTTTCTGGGGTCATTATATGTGCTGTGTGAAGTAAGCCAGAGCCTACTCTGGCTTACTAATCACAAAAAAACATACAAAAAACAAATAATCATTTATATATTTATAGATATGTAAACTGCAATAAGTACATGTGCACACATAAATCACACGTACAAAAACACCAACCACTACTGTGTCACTCATTTTCTCAACAAATATTTATCAACTTGCTGCTATATATCTGGCATTGTTCCAGTGACAAGGACAAAAGCTTGAACCAGACAGGCAAATCTATTAACTATGTGGAGTTTATAGTGAGATAGTTGAAAAACAAACTAAACAAACAA